CCTGGTACAAAAATTGTTTCAGATATCAGTTCTTCTGATCATTGCAAAGCGTTGGACTGAATCCGACTAGTCAAAGATGTTTATTGAATACGTACATCTTTGAACTGGTAGATCAGAGTGAGTGAGTTGGGCTTAACGCCGCTTTTAACAATATTCCAGTTTTATCGCGGCGTGTCAGCTTAATGTGGGAGGAAAGCCCGAAGTGATGCAGGTCTCAGACGTTTACCACTTGGGTGAAACACACGAGCATGGGTATGGTGCTGACAAACCTAGAAACATAATTGGGGTGAACCGGGTAGATCAGAGCAAAACGTATTATACACAGATGATTGATAGTTCCGGCTTATGTTTATGAGAAAGTTGAGTTCACATATTCATTGAACAAGTTTGTTATCTCCTGTTCAATGGCCTGAAGCAGTTGTGATGCAGAGTTAGACTGAGCACAATATACATTTTTCCCAAAACTTGTACCCATGATTGGGGAGTGCACATGGTCCTCAAGTGCTCTTTATACACCAAAACTACTGTTAACTGCCGGCCTCTCAACCAGCCCGGCATATGATGGTATATAAAGAATGTTGAACTTGAGGAATACCAGGCTGTGGTATAAGTGGATGAAAACGCAAATAATCATGACGGACGGGCATGGTGTTAATTTAAATATCAACACCATAGATCCTCTAATTTGTTGAATGCAAATTCAATTTAAATGTTACCTTGACAACTAGTTGATGTGATCCAGATGCAGCAATCATGGACCATGTTTCTTTCGTCTTGTTATTTAAGACCTCAAATTTGAGGGTTATGTGAAAATTCAGTTTGATAATAGAGCAGAGCACATGTCACATCTGCTGACGTTACAAATATGTTCCCAATCAATGGCTGAGTGAGAGTCCCATCGTCATTCATGGAACGGAGCCGCTCCACAGTGGCAGTCAAGGCTGAATTAGTCTGCGTATCATGTTATTGTTATTCCAGAGGACTTTATTGACGTGAAGTGTGCATGATTACTGTATCAATGAGAGAGAATGGTTGAAGACAGTAATTTCATTTACTCAGCGGAATGTGTCAGCGATGACACAATGGAAGCAGCTTCGTTTTCCCCTGACAGGGGAGGTGTGGCAGGGAGACAGAGTCAAACTCTCTATTGATCCAAAACACTTTGACATTCTTCAAATTTACTGAGAAATATTGGTTACACATGATTGGTAATAGACACCTCATGTTCATATGTACTGAAAATATTCCAGTTACGCAGGCATAACACTATTGAATGTGTAGTCATATGTGAAATCAATTTTCAAATTCGTTAATGAAGTAGTCAATAAGAAGTCTAAATAGACCTGATTACTGATCAAATATTGCTTCCATGGCAACAATATTGGATATTAATTAACAAGTCGAGAATTCAGGGATCCCATTGTTGGAATTATCATGCAGTATGGGGTGTGAGTCATGGCTGTTATTGGGGACATTTGAGAACCCACTCAGTCAACAGTTGATATAGCAGGGTCTGAAACAAGGTGATGTGTTACCACCACTGCAGTTCTAACTGGCGAGAGCTGATATATATCTTGTGTGAGTATAGTTGAGATCTGTTATACCAGGGAGATATAGAGTTGATATACACCTTGTGTGAGTATATTGGATGATCTGTTATACAGGGAGATATAGAGTTGATATATGTCTTGTGTGAGTATAGTAGAGATCTGTTGTACAGGGAGATATAGAGTTGATATATATCTTGTGTGAGTATAGTGGAGATCTGTTGAACAGGGAGATAGAGAGTTGATATACATCTTGTGTGAGTATAGTGGAGATCTGTTGAACCAGGGAGATATAGAGTTGATATACACCTTGTGTGAGTATAGTGGAGATCTGTTATACACAGAGATATAGAGTTGATATACATATTGTGTGAGTATAGTGGAGATCTGTTATACAGGGAGATATAGAGTTGATATACACCTTGTGTGAGTATAGTGGAGATCTGTTATACACAGAAATATAGAGTTGATATACATCTTCTGTGAGTATAGTGGAAATCTGTTATACACAGAGATAAAGAGTTGATATACACCTTGTGTGAGTATAGTGGAGATCTGTAACCAGGGAGATATAGAGTTGATATACACCTTGTGTGAGTATAGTGGAGATCTGTTGTACAGGGAGATATAGAGTTGATATACACCTTGTGTGAGTATAGTGGAGATCTGTTATACAGGGAGATATAGAGTTGACATACACCTTGTGTGAGTATAGTGGAGATCTGTTGTACAGGGAGATATAGAGTTGATATACACCTTGTGTGAGTATAGTGGAGATCTGTTATACAGGGAGATATAGAGTTGACATACACCTTGTGTGAGTATAGTGGAGATCTGTTATACACAGAGATATAGATTTGATATACAACTTGTGTGAGTATAGTGGAGATCTGTAACCAGGGAGATATAGAGTTGATATACACCTTGTGTGAGTTTAGTGGAGATCTGTTATACACAGAGATATAGAGTTGATATACACCTTGTGTGAGTATAGTGGAGATCTGTAACCAGGGAGATATAGAGTTGATATACACCTTGTGTGAGTATAGTGGAGATCTGTTGTACAGGGAGATATAGAGTTGATATACATCTTCTGTGAGTATAGTGGAGATCTGTTATACAGGGAGACTTAGAGTTGATATACACCTTGTGTGAGTATAGTGGAGATCTGTTGTACAGGGAGATATAGAGTTGATATACACCATGTGTGAGTATAGTGGAGATCTGTTGTACAGGGAGATATAGAGTTGATATACATCTTGTGTGAGTATAGTGGAGATCTGTTGTACAGGGAGATATAGAGTTGATATACATCTTGTGTGAGTATAGTGGATGATCTGTTATACAGGGAGATATAGAGTTGATATACATCTTGTGTGAGTATAGTGGAGATCTGTTGTACAGGGAGATATAGAGCTGATATACAACTTGTGTGAGTATAGTGGATGATCTGTAACCAGGGAGACTTAGAGTTGATATACACCTTGTGTGAGTATAGTGGAGATCTGTTGTACAGGGAGATATAGAGTTGATATACATCTTGTGTGAGTATAGTGGATGATCTGTTATACAGGGAGATATAGAGTTGATAGACAGGCTGATAGACAAATCATTGTTAAGTTTACATGACACCAGATGTCCCAAATTTAGGAGAGCATGAATTGTCTCCTCTTGTATCTCATTGAAGGTCAAGGTGACTGTGGAGGCGGTCCCAGGTGGTAGAGACCAGCACAATTCGGTTCCATGCACTAATTCAAATCATTTGAAATCTGTCATGTTTCGAGAAATAATTGAGATGTTTTCAGTTTAAAAATGAGGTCTGTCTGTAAGATAAAGATTTAATGACCTTTAAACTGCTGGTGCTAGACACCATGGGGAGGGGGAGTTTGCAGCCAGGATAGACACCCTCCCCCAGGGTTGTGCTAATAGTGGACACGAGTCTTTCTCTGTATGGCTTCAGGCTCTCACATTCTTCTTCCTCGTCATGCCGCTAATCTCTCGTTCTCTGCCACACTCTTCTACTAAATAAGTCCAGCTTAAATGGGGTGTAAAAAGCGGAAAGATTTTCATCCATAGGGAGTTATGCTAAAATTTGACAAACTCTTTTTTCCTGAGTCTAATCGATAGTAATAATGGTCTGCTTTGGCAGATTGTGATGGTTCATCCTCTGGGTCATCTCTCGAGTCTTCATCAAAGGGTTGAGGGAGAGAGTATTGCACACGCCACAGATGCATTTAAATTGGGTAGAAATAAAAGAACACTTCTCTGCACTGACCTATGACAGGGCTCATGTCTGATTAGCCATAAATGTTGTGTTGCTCGTCTATCAGCAATATTGGAATGACATACTCAGCCCGAGATTCACCACGCTTCTCATCTAGACATGCATCAACTCTCTATTCGAAGACAATAAGGCCAATTTACCTTTTTCGTTTTACACATAACAGGTCTTTTTAACACACAAACACTCACACTCACACTCACACTCACACACACACACACACACACACACACACACACACACACACACACACACACACACACACACACACACACACACTAAAACACACAAACACACTAAAATGCACACACTAAAACACACACACACTAAAACACACACACACACACACACACACAAACTAAAACACACTAAAACACACACACACACACACACACACACACACACACACACACACACACACACACACACACACACACACAGAGTAAAACTGACCCCCGACAGTTCCATATATCACTGTCCCTTAGGTCAGTGGTAGCATAGCCGAATGGGTAGAGTGTCCTCTTGTCTCGCCTCTTGATTCCCAGTTTGGATACATTGTATCAGGTCCATTCCTTTTCTCCCCCACTGTAATATTGCTAAACTGTACTCATAACTCAGAACACTAAAACTGTCCAATCCTGTAACATATTCAACTCTCTTGTATTTATGGGGGGAGCAATAATTGTGTCATGATGAGTTTGAAAGTTTGACGCAGGGGTAGCATTATGCAGATGGCTGTTTCAATGAATGCTCGTTCCACCCGTGACAAACAGGTCTGGTTGTTGATGAAATATAGTGATAGCTAAACAGACAGATTTTTTATTCATGCACCGATTGTCTTTAAATGTAATATCCAGTTATGTATGACTGTTTAATAATCTCATACCAACTTTGACTGGAGTAGGTCCGATAGTTTTTCAGATATTGTAGTAAACGTCGGTACCTTAAATTAACTTCAAGCCTATAGTTCGCCTTTGTCTGTGATAACCCTGTGTTCCAGCCACACTTTCTCCACATGAAAGCCAGACAAACTGGCTCATGAAGTTTTGTCCAAACCTTACCGCCTCCATTTATGGTCAAATTCAGGCTCATTTCAGTACAACAACAACAAAACCAGACAACAGTACAAGCACTTTGCAATCAAATCTAACTTACGTTCCATTGTGTTTCAGTATGCCAACCCGCGGCTACATTGCCGGCAAGCCGGTGTCGAGATGGGACGCGGAGTCCGACAACATCGACATCGAGTACAAGAACCTGGACCGGCCCCGCCCACAAGCGTGGTGCGGAGACTGCTTCAGTGGGAGGAAGGGGACAATCCTCAAGGTCCTCCTCCTCATCGTCATCTTCTTCGTGGGCCTCATTCTCGGATACATCATCAGGCGCAACATCCACGAGACTTTCATAGAACCTGAGCAGAAGCCTAACTTTGGAGTCCAGCAGGTAGGTTAATGTATTTGTATGTAGTCAGGGGGTTGGCCCAGGTCTATGGTCTTGCTTTGGCTGTGCAGAGTTGTCTCCCTTAGATGTACCAGAAACCTGGGTTCCCATGTACCGTGTGGTGTACCGTCACCCTGGTTCGAAACCAAGACATGCCCTGATAATGTTTTCAGCACCGTACCCGTGCTCTGGTGTCACCAAAGTGGTAAATGTCTTTCACTTGCATCACTTCAGGCTTTCCATCCACATCAAGCTGATGAACTTGATAAAACCGAAGACTGAAAAGTGGTGTTCAAATCCTTCTCACTCACATCACAAATATAATGTTACAAGTCTTTGATTAATGCTGTTCTTTAATCTCAGCTTCTAGTCACAATATTATGCATTTTTTTAAGTTCTGAGTTGAGTATTTGCAAACTTCTTTGTAGAGAAGGGGCACTGGCGTAAAACATTTGCCAGTATATGGTGACTGTTATATTGCTGGAATAATTCTATCAACAGAGTAAAACCCAGTTTTTCACTCACTCACTCACTCACTCACTCACTCACTCACTCACTCACTCACTCACTCACTCATTGAGTAAACCACTCAACAATTCACTCACTCAACAATTCACTCACTCACCCAACAATTCACTCACTCACTCACTCACTCACTCACTCACTCACTCACTCACTCACTATCAGCCTCACTCCGCAGGCAGCAAAATGTCAGCTGTACCCTAGATGCTAACCAGGTAAACTGTTTTTATTATGTTTCTTCTGAACATTAATCTTGGAACCGGGATCAATGGCCAATTTTGTAGTCCGTGTGTGTCACTATTACCATGTTAGTTGTACATATAGTGTTGGCTGATCACAGTACACAATGTTAATGGACACATAGCTCTTCCTAGGACTTGGACATCAGGTCCCAAGGTTAAAGTTTGGAGCCCATTTAGCCCCAGTGCTCAATGATGACATCCAGGTTGTCTTTGATGCCTGTGCGAGGACATCCTATAAGACATTCTTATAGGTCTTCCTGGTGAACGTTGTAGAGGACGTCCTATAAGACATTCTTATAGGTCTTCCTGGTGAACGTTGTAGAAGACGTCCTATAAGACATTCTTATAGGCCTACCTGGTGAACGTTGTAGAGGACGTCCTATAAGACATTCTTATAGGTGTTCCTGGTGAACGTTGTAGAGGACGTCCTATCAGACATTCTTATAGGCCTTCCTGGTGAATGTTGTAGAGGACATCCTATAAGACATTCTTATAGGCCTTCCTGGTGAACGTTGTAGAGGACATCCAATAAGACATTCTTATAGGCCTTCCTGGTGAACGTTGTAGAGGACATCCTATAAGACATTCTTATAGGTCTTCCAGGTGAACGTTGTAGAGGACATCCTATAAGACATTCTTATAGGCCTTCCTGGTGAACGTTGTAGAGGACGTCCTATAAGACATTCTTATAGGCCTTCCTGGTGAACGTTGTAGAGGACGTCCTATAAGACATTCTTATAGGCCTTCCTGGTGAACGTTGTAGAGGACATCCTATAAGACATCCTGGTGAACGTTGTAGAGGACGTCCTATAAGACATTCTTATAGGCCTTCCTGGTGAACGTTGTAGAGGACGTCCTATAAGACATTCTTATAGGCCTTCCTGGTGAACGTTGTAGAGGACGTCCTATAAGACATTCTTATAGGCCTTCCTGGTGAACGTTGTAGAGGACGTCCTATAAGACATTCTTATAGGCCTTCCTGGTGATCGTTGTAGAGGACGTCCTATAAGACTTTCTTATAGGCCTTCCTGGTGAACGTTGTAGAGGACGTCCTATAAGACATTCTTATAGGCCTTCCTGGTGAACGTTGTAGAGGACATCCTATAAGACATTCTTATAGGCCTTCCTGGTGAACGTTGTAGAGGACATCCTATAAGACATTCTTATAGGTCTTCCAGGTGAACGTTGTAGAGGACATCCTATAAGACATTCTTATAGGCCTTCCTGGTGAACGTTGTAGAGGACGTCCTTACTTTTTGAACCCGGTAATGTGTTGAAGGCCTCTGTTAAGGTCAAGGACATTTTCTAACTGACTGAAGATCAAGGGTATTGGCATCCCTGTCATTTTTAGCACAATTCACTGTGCAGAGTTGCCTCCCTTAGTAATGCCAGTATGTGCTGATCATAGATTCCCATCCCTAGCTCAACGGTTATGCTCCATGCTGTGTCAGCACTGTGGCCATGTTTTTCACTGTATTTCTCTAAACTAAACATATATTACCTGTCTCAATGTGGACATTTCTCCCACATTGATCCTGAAACTAACTGAAATACTGGGGGCCATGTGGCCTAAATAGAGAAGATGCGTTCCACTTTTTTCTATCTTGTCCACGCTATGCCAAGTTTAGAATTGATAAATACTTTTTTGTTAACCAGCTCAGCATACATACTATACTCCACGGCAATGAAGATTCATCTTCCTCAGACAATGAATACATTATAAAATCAGTTCACAATTACATCATTGAAACAAACCGCTTTACGTAAGTTTTGTGTCAATTTAAGAATATAAAATGCTTTTGGTATCTTGCTTTTCATTTTATTTTTTATGTTGTGTTACTCATTAATGTCTGCTCTATAGACTTCATTACAATCTACATGTATAATGTACAATATTAGGAGAAGCATTAATATAGGCCTTTTTGGCCTGTTTGCTAATCCTTTTTCCATTTTGTAATGCTATTTAATGTAAAATCTGAACATTAATGGAAATAAAATACTGTTTAAATCAAATACTGGGGGCACAGGTGGCCCAGTCGTCTAATGCGCGCGATTCGATGTGCAGAGTTGCGTCCCTTGGGCATGCCAGAAACCTATGATTGTGGGTTCGAATCCCGGTTTACCCCGATTATGTTTCTAGATTTGGCAGCACCGTACCCTTGCTCGTGGGTTTCACCGAAGTGGTAAACGTCTGAGACCTACATCACTTCAGGCTTTCCTCCCACATTAAGCTGACACGCCGTGATATAACTGGAATAATGTTAAAAGTGGCGTTAAACCCAACTCACTCACTCACTAACTAAAATACTGCTCAAAGCATCATAAAACCCAAGTCACTCACTCACCCGAGGGCAAAGTGCTTGTGCAGCCATGCCGAAGTACCAATTGGCATTTATTTGTTTTGCTATCAAGCTGATGATGAGATCAGTTCAACAGGACCGTCAGGATGAAGGTGGAGGTTTGGTGAGGTGAAATTGGGTTTAACGTGCGTGTGTGTGTGTGGCGAGGGGGGGGTTGGCTGGCTGGCTGCTTGTACTAGTCCGGACTGATGCCAATTTATGGTGCTAGCACACTGAGATACCATGCTGCAGTTTAACATGAATACCCCACTCAGACACATTATATACTGACTCCGAGCCGACCAGTCCTTGTTTTAGCCCCTTAATGCTGAACGTCAGGGTAACAACAAATACCATCTTTTAATGTCTTTTGGTATGACGCGCCTGGGGATGGAACACCGGACCTTCCGCTCTCCGGGCAGACGCTCTGCCACTAGTCCACGGAGGCGGTCTCAGGATGAAGGAAGATGGTATCCGCTGGGATCTAGTTGATGGAGGTGTGCCATTTTGTCTCATCAATATTCAAGTGAAAGACCTCCCATGTCCCAGGCATGAACTGGACTGGTATTTGTTGCCATTTTAAGCAAGATTGAGCTTGTACAGTTTCAGCTTGATCAGAAGAAAGAATTCCTTCTGCGACAGGATGGTGTTTTTGTTGCTTCATTGTGGAAGTCAGTGTCTGGAAGACAGATGTATTTGAAGTACTGTATCAACAGCATGGAGTTTGCTGGTACCAGGTGGTGTTGGTTTACAGCCAGTTATATCACAGTGTCAGCTTAATTTGACGGGAAGCTCAAGTTAGCACAGGCACCCAGGTGGAACCAGTGAACACAGGTTAATTACCCAGGTGGAACCAGTGAACACAGGTTAATCACCCAGGTGGAACCAGTGAACACAGGTTAATCACCCAGGTGGAACCACTGAACACAGGCTATTCACCCAGGTGCAACCATTGAACACAGGCTAATCACTCAAGTGGAACCAGTGAACACAGGCTAATCACCCAGGTGGAACCAGTGAACACAGGTTAATCACCCAGGTGGAAACAGTGAACACAGGCTAATCACCCAGGTGGGACCAGTGAACACAGGCTAATCACCCAGGTGCAACCATTGAACACAGGCTAATCACTCAAGTGGAACCAGTGAACACAGGCTAATCACCCAGGTGGAACCAGTGAACACAGGTTAATCACCCAGGTGGAAACAGTGAACACAGGCTAATCACCCAGGTGGGACCAGTGAACACAGGCTAATCACTCAAGTGGAACCAGTGAACACAGGCTAATCACCTAGGTGGAAACAGTGAACACAGGTTTATCACCCAGGTGGAACCATTGAACACAGGCTAATCACCCAGGTGGAACCAGTGAACACAGGCTAATCACCCAGGTGGAACCAGTGAACACAGGACAAGAGGGGTTTGACTGTATCGGGACAAGAAGGGTTTGACTGTATTGGGACACGAGGGGTTTGACTGTATCGGGAGGACAAGAGGGATTCCGATGTATTAGGACAAGAGGGGTTTGACTGTATCGGGACAAGAAAGGGTTCGACTGTATTGGGACAAGAGGGGTTTGACTGTATCGGGACAAGAGGGGTTCCACTGTGTCGGGATAAGAGGGGTTCCCTTGTATTGGGACAAGAGGGGTTCCACTGTATCAGGACAAGAGGGGTTCCACTGTGTCGGGACAAGAGGGGTTCCCTTGTAGTGGGACAAGAGGGGTTCCACTGTGTCAGGACAAGAAGGGTTCCACTGTATCTTGAGGACAAGAGGGGTTCCACTGTGTCGGGATAAGAGGGGTTCCACTGTGTCGGGATAAGAGGGGTTCCACTGTGTCGGGACAAGAGTGCTTCCACTGTATCTTGAGGACAAGAGTGCTTCCACTGTATCTTGAGGA